GAATGAAAAATGCTGAAGGTAAAAAATCCCAGTCCTCATTTTGGTTGAAAGTGACAAATCTGAACAACTGTAGATTGAATTGCTACAAAAGTGTACATTCATGTTTCCAGGAGGATGAATCACTATGACACAGATGATCTCCTGACTTTTTCTATCCTTTTTTGTTTTTTAGATTTTAATTTTTGATTTATTTTTTTTTTTGCTTCATCTCATTTGTTGCTGCATTATTTTAATCAAACATAATGAAAATCCTCTACACAATAAAGGAATAAACTAATGACTGTATCCGAGTTAAAATCCCTGACCCGTGACGATTTAAAGGGAAGTAATTTATACACATCTGCTTCCACGGTCTGACTCCAACAGGACTCCTGATGATTTAATGGTGGTGTTACGGTAAAGAGATGAGCAGGACGCACTTCTTTAGTAATGGCAGCATCATTAAACGAGACCTCGTCAGTTACCATAGAAGCTTATTCATACCCAGCAAAACTCTGAGAGGCTTATTCTGAGTCTAATCAGCTGCAGCCACTCCACGAAGACAGTGATGAGCAATAGAGGATGACATCATGGGACAAACAGTTAAAGAAGCATTTTTTTCCAAGACTCAAAGTCACTTTTAACATTGTTATGAATATAACTTATATAGCATGCTGAATGAGACATGGGTGTTCTTTTCTCCATGCTCTGTCTGCCCCTTTTCTAATTTTCATTTTATCTAAACATTTATTTATTAGATTTGTGTATTTTTATCATGGCTGTTGAACAGCCATGTGATGTGCATCCATGTTGTGGGAGTGTATATAATATACCTAAAGGTTTAAAACGGGATTTAGGCCAAACAGACATTTTTTTTTATAGGTGGGTGGCTGGGTGGACAAGTTACAATTAGGGAGAGGATCCAAAAAATAAATGCATGACCTGGATTCCCTTTATGCTCATTTAAATCACCATGTGGGGAGTCACCATTGTGCTGTCTCAACTAGCTTTGTCTGCTCGGCAGATTTTCTAATGAGGGGCTTTTGGAGGAGGATGACAGAGCACTCTGCCTGTTCAGTCGGGGAGGAGGGGCGTTTAAAGGAAACGAGCAACGCTCTGTCCATGGATATGCCTAATACTAGATCCCCCCTACTCAGATGCCCTGCTGGCAGCTTGGCAGTGCCATTAGGACTGAGAAGGGTGGCATTAGTCTGAAACTCTCATTATGTCAGATACACTGAAAACCTGTAATCCAGGCAACAAATGATAGGGGTAGAATTAAACCCAAATGGGCAGGAAGGCAGCAGAGGTGTAATTCAAAGTACTCCGTTTTGTTTGTACTTTACACAACTTTAGTTAGAGAAAAAAAATCATGTACTTAAAATATTTGTACATCCATTATGTCTTTTGTACAAAATAAATAATCAGGCTTGGATGTTGAAAGTGTGTAATGCATTTCTTCAAGTGGCAAAACTGTTAAAAACCAAAAATAATGATAATAATTATCATGATAATATATATACACAAATGTAATCAGTGCTGCAAGAAAACTATTTTTCTTGCTTTTTTTTTTTGCATTTTTCTTGCAATATTTTCTCATGGAGCAGGTCACATTCAAGGTGGAAAAAAGAAAGAGGAAATGGAAGTATAAGCTGCCAAAGTAGGTCAAAACAACTGGTTTAGCACTGCTGATATCATGTGAGGCAGATGTTTGACAGTTTTTTGGTCAATAATTTGCTCAACCAAAACTGTGTGAAGGTCCAACAAAATTCAATCACATCTACTCCCTTTCCTTTTATCTTTTTTTGCATTTTTTGTGGAATCAAGTAAATCGGTCACTTTAACTTGCTATCTGCACCATGTAAGGATAGTAAGCATCTCTTGTTCTTGTTCTTGTTGGTGTGACAGTGGAAGCAGTTGTTAGAATAATTGCACCCTGCTCCAGCACTGTAACAGTGGCAATATGTGAAAACACTCTCACCTCCACTGTCTTACCTCCATCTTTAGACAAACTTTTGGAACTATTCAACTTATTAATTCCGAAAAACTTCCTGCAAGCACGGCCTCACCTTGGAGTTCATACCCTGCAGTTATGCAGTTCACCAGAAGATGGAAATATATCACAAGGCATATGGACTGAAGAAGAACCTCAACATGATCATGCTGCATAGAGGAGCAATCCTTTTTCTTTCAGAGAAAATAAATGCCTCAGTAAAACAATATTGCCTTAAATACATCAAACATAATATCAAAAATAAATACAGGCATTAATTTCTAAAACCAAACACACACTGATATCTTTTACTGTTTAAATGTGTACTTATTTTTTGCATTGCATTGCATTCGTTTCTTTGTTTATTTGTGAGTGTGGGAGTTTTGTTCCTCTCTAATACTGTATAGTTATTGATTGATTGATTGATTGATCTTTATTTGAACATGTGAAAAGTATAAAAAAAAATAGAATAAAAAGACAAATGAACAAGCAAACAAAAAAACGAGCAACACAATCCAAAAATCATGTCAAAAGAGCAGAAAAGCATAAGCTATTAATACCTTTCACTATTAGTATCAATAGACTACAGAAATACTCTTGTATTACATTATTTATGTGTAATTTTTTTTTTTTTTTTAATATATACATATATGTTCTATCTATCATACTAGTATATACACACATACGCACATATACACATTTTCAATAACCTATTAACACCTGAAGGATACACAACCTACAATTTTATATATATATATATATATATATATATATATATATATATATACATATACATATACACACATACATACACACACATACACATATATATATACATATATATACATATACATATATACATATACACATATATATATATACACATGCATACATACATACATATACATACATATACACATACATATATACCCATACCAACACACATGAAAATATTAGACAAGAACACCATATCAAATCTCTACCTTTCCCTGTACCCTGTAAAAACCATATCCTTAAACCGCTTTTTAAACTGCGCCATGCTTGGACATTGCTTCATATCTTTACTTAGTCTGTTCCACAGCTTCACTCCACACACAGAGATGCAAAAACTTTTTAATGTTGTACGGATACGAGGATGTTTTAAATTTAATTCCCCCCTCAAATTGTATCCGTTCCTTTTAGAAACATTTTTAGATATTGTCAGGCAGGTTATTTATTGCTTTATATATTTTGCTGTGAAAATTTAAAAGTTAAATCTCATTTTACCCTTGTCATTTAATTTAAGGATTTATTAGGTGTTTGTTTTTTTAATCTGCTGCTGTTTATGGACGATATACAACGTATGCGTTTAGACATGGATCATTGAGGGATTGTTTTACAAAAGAGGTTAAAAAATTTTCAGAGAGCTCAGCCTACACACTGAGTGTTAGAAGAGGCCAAATCAGGATTAACAAAAAAAAAAGAAGCTGACAGTCAGTTCCTCTGTTGCACTGTCACAACAATTCCCAACAAACACAGGATTTCTGTGGTCAGCCTGTGCATAAAAATCCCTCTGTTGGTCTTTCTAAAATCAACAACACAAAGTGTATGAAAGTGGTGAGAGCAGAAATAGTTTTTGCTAGAGAATGTCGCATGTGTGCCCTCTGCTGGATTATTAAAACATCACAATATTTGCTTTGGTTTATGGGCGATGCCAAAAGGGGCAGCTCGCAATGTGATCTGAGGTACTTTCCATTCACGAAAGCTAATGCAGATATACACAAACATTTATAAAATAATAAAAATAATTTTAAAAAACTATTTTAAATCCCAACTATTGTCTAAACTCAGGCGGAGGAAATCTCTGCATGTTTATCAGAATCTGCCCCTTTGAAGGTGTCATTGTGTTACTGTTTAGTCTGTTTAGTCACTCTATACACAAACCTACTTTATCCTACTGTGTTCACTGAGTTTAGCTGAGCTTTAATAATGTCGTTTCTTCCGCCTTGCTGTATAATATGTATAATATGTTTTTTCAGCATTTAAATCCTTCTATTGTGTACACAGAAGAAAATACTTTTTTCGACCACTGCTTTTGAGAATTTCTTTATTTTTACAAACTTGTTGGGCGCCTGACAACAAACCAATCCACAAAGATCTAAAACAAGTCTGAATACGATGACTTGCATTTCAAAATAAAAGCACAGACACTGACACTCGTGTATCTCAGGAGGAATACTATAGGATTTATGTACTGAGTTCACGAACTGACAAATAACAAATAACAGTTAAATGTGGTTTTGTCTTTGTGTGTCTGTTTATTTAGAGATTTTATTTTATTTTACTTAATTTTTTTCATAGCTAAAAAGACAAATAAATAAATGGCATTCCACTTTACACTGCAACCTTTTTTCTTTGCGATCATTTACACCAGGGATGCCAAAATTGTTTTAGATTGAGTCCATATGCAGCTAACTTTGATCTTACATGGGCCAGACCAGTAAAACTATGATAAATGTCTAAAATCACAGAAAAACATTTTGGTGATTCATTGCTCGGGCTGTTTCCATGAATTAATTCACAGAGAATATTCTTTACTATGAACTATAAAAGCAAAACAAATAGAAATTCAATTAAAAAAAATGTTAGAGTAGATAGTAGAAAACAATTTTTTTCGTCATTTAATTGTTCATTACTTACTTTGTTTTTTAGTATGAATGGCAATGAGTTGGTGGAGTCTTTATTATATGTTTTTATATGTAAAACATACGAAAATTTAGTCAAAACTCCGGATGATCGGGCTGGAGTCTTTTCTGGGCCGATTCTGGGCCCTTGGCCTAATGTTTGACACCCCTAATTTATACAAAGAAAGTTAACAAAGCAGTAAATGTAACCTGAAAATAATAATGTAATGTTATCACTATACCAAAAATACTGCCAATATAATATAATATAATATAATATAATATAATATAATATAATATAATATAATATAATATAATATAAACCCATAAAATGGATTATTTTGAAAAACTGATTCAACCGGATGTCTCCTGTTAAACTGTTCCAGCTGGACACGCGTGGAGCAGTGAGGGCTATGGTGGGAGAGGAAGCACGCAGACCTCCAGCGAGTTTAGTAACTGTGACCGACGTGCTGCCGTGTACCCTGTGAGGAGAAGATGTCCGTGAACGAGGTGTACGTGTTCCGACCCTTCAAGCTCATCGCTCTGCTGTGCGTCTTCCTGGCGCTGTGTCTGGACGTGGTGGCTCTACTCAGTCCAGCCTGGGTCACCGCGGAGCATTTCTCCCTGTCTCTGTGGGAGTCATGCTCCCAATCGGTGGCTCGGCATCCCACGGACGAGCCCCAGTGGAGCTGCTTCTCCACCCTCACATCTGGTAGGAACAGTGTGTTTTGTTTGTTTAACAGTGCGCTGTTGCTCTTGGAGCCCGAATGGTGTTTTGTTTGTTGAAGAGGTTGAAAACCCACGACCAAGTTTTTTGTTGTTTACAGCTCAGATTGATCCTATAAACACGTTTTCGATCTGAAGGGTGGTTTTAGTGATGTGGTGTTTGTAATTATGTCATAGCGCACAGGATATATCCTGTTTTGAAATAAACAAAGAGGATACTGGACTGCGCAAACAGTCTGACTACAAGCTCTGACCACCATCCCCTGGGCAGACTTTGTTTTAGTTGGCTGCTGGTCAATAGATGAGGCATTCAGACTTCTCGCGCAGCTGATAAATTTCCTCTCTACATTCCAGATCGATGACGTGGTTTCACCGTGACAGCCTCACAGTGATGCTCAGTGACAAAGCCACACCTGACCAAGCTTTAACTGTTGATTTTTGTGACAGCTGGATGAGAACTATTTAACAAAGGGCTGGTGCTCATTGTTTTCTAATGCTTTAACTCTGTGCTTAGGTAAAGTGTTTATATGCAAGAAAGCTATGCATAATCCCTCTGGCACACAAAGAGTTAACCCACCCCAGCAAGCAGAAGGCTTTTAGTGGATTTGGAGAGACACATTCAGCATCTTCCCCTTCATCGACCTCACCAAGCCAGGACCCCCTAAGTCGCCTTTTGTCAGGCAGAAAAGCCACGTCCCCCGACCCCCATCCTTTCCCCCCAGGGAAGCAAATCCGCATTAAATTTACTAGATTTGGGAACAGTTGACTTTTGTCCTGTACAGTAAGGCTATTAGCAGGAGCTTTCATCTTTATTAAACACACAGTCGCTCACTGTTACTATTGAAATAAATAAAGGAAGACTTCAAGGATAAAATTGGACCGTTCCATTTAAGTTTCCTCATTTTGTAGCTTAAATGTTTAAAATATTTAAAATTTTTAGCTGTTGATCATTTTTCACAGGACTTTGCACATGCACCCTTGGTGTGATTGACCTCTCTTTGATATTGTGGAATGTGTTGGGGTGAATAGGAGGCGGGTTTGTTGCTCTGAGTGTCTGCAGAGCTCATTAAAACAAGAGCGGATGGGTGTGTTGAGGTTAAAGGTGCAGTTCATCCAGTGGCGAAAGAGACTAATTAGGCACGTACAAAGGTTCTCACCCTTGTTCTTGAATTTCATCTACAGTGGCAGTTCCTGATAGAAAAATTCACCATAGCTTTTTACCATCATTATGACAAATAACCAGAAGCTCAGGGAGAGACACACCCAGCGAAAATTGTGCGGTGAGCTTGTTAACCAAATGCAAATTCTCTTTCCGAGCCAAGTCGTTTAAGGTAGGGCGGGAGATCAAAGAGAGGATGCGCAATCAAGGTCGAGCAGACAAAAGATTTTCTCCTGAATGTGTTGCTGGTTTCAGTCTCTGTACCAACACTTGCTTGAACAGAGTTAAGCTCCATTCAAAAAAGGCCACGTGCTGCTTTTAAAAGCCTGGTGCTGTGGAGGTCTTTCCAGGAAAGAATGTGACGCGCAGGAAGATTTTAGTTTTACTTTTCCAACAGGAGCAGTTTGTTTGGAATATGTTAAGTAAATGTGGCATTAAAAAAGCCACTGTGGCTGCAAGAATTTGGAAGAAGCTGGCATTCACAATCACAAACTCCTGTTTCATAACCCAAAGCCTCCAAGGACCAAGGAGACATATACATAATACATAACCATAGACTGTATTTGGAAAATTTTGATTACAAACTCAGTTCCAAGAAAGTTGGAACCCTGCATAAAATACAAATAAAAATGAGTGTAATGGTTTGCAGATTTCAGAAACCCATATTTGTATTTGCAGTAGACCATAATAAACATATTGAATGTTTAAACTGAGACATTTTACTATTATATGATGGATACATCAACAGCACATCTCAAGAAAGTTGGAGCACAGGCATTTTGCAGCTACTTAGGAGCAGGTCGGTAACATGACTGGGCATAAAAAGAGACCAATTGAAAACTAGAATTTCACCCATCAAAACTGGAGCTGGACGTGCCTGGAATGGAATTAACCATGCATTTCACTGACTGAGTTTGCAGACAGGTGGAGGTAACAGCATCTACCTGCCAACCTCCTGCTTTGAAGCCTTAATGCAAGTTAAACGAGCATTAAAGAAAATAAATGGCAGAATTGTCACAAAGCTGTATATTAGTTTTAAAAAACAGATGTGTGTTTGTTCTTTTTTTTACCAGATTGCAAAAAAAAAAAAAAGTTTTATTTTTCTTGCAAAGTTTAACATTTGAACATAGGGCTGCTGATTTGTCTCCATTTGTATGCAGTTCTTGACATTTCTGCACAGGCCTGATTTTTTTTTAATTCCAGAGGTTGCCACATGATACTGTCTTAGGACTAAAAATGTAGTTTGTTGACATGCACAAATATGAACAGCTAGAAAAGTAGGGCAAAAATGTAGCCAACCAGCAGGACAACTAAGATTAAATAACGTGCATTAACATGAGATTCAGCCTTGGATTTTTGCATCTGTTCTCATTACAGGGACTTTGAGTCACTAATTATGTTCTTGACGGTTGCATTCCTGATGCGGGCCTGATGGCTCTCTGCGTCATTCAGTTCTCTCTGCAGGATTAGCTCTTGTTTCGTGTTTGTCAACACAGCGGTTCAATTCAGCCGTGCTCAACTGTGAATCGAGCTTTTGTTGATGAGTAGGATGCTCCTCTTTAACCTGCATGTGTCCTGTTCTTGCAGACTGGCAGATCGCCACCCTGGTGTTGCTAGGTGTCGGTGCAGCCACGACTCTGGTGGCCTTTTTGGTGGCCGTTATTTCCCTGTGCAGGGGCACGCAAAGACAACACTACCGCACTGTGGCAATATTCCTCTTCACTGCAGGTATGTCACCTTTCCCATATATTTATTTATTCATTCATTCACTTTTTATAATGTTTGGCTAATAACCCAGTGTTTCAGCAGTTTCCATATATGCCTGTGTTTGTGCTCCACTGCTCACATTAAATAGAAGCATGCAAAAGACACAGGCGAGTGAGCCTAGCAGGCTGAGCTTGTTTTCTCTGTGGTATTGCCTCTGGAGACCTGCAGGCTGATGTGCCAAGAAAAGGCAGCCACAGAATTTGCAGACTTACCAACAAAGTGAAGTCACTGAGAGGAAAAAACAAAAAAAAAGCCACCACAGACTCCTCGCCCATAACTGCCTCGTAGTTGGACTGCTGCTTCTTCCGTGCTTTGTAAGAATTGCCCTTAGGGTAAAAATAAACTGTGACACTGATGAGAATGAATATAAATTAAAAGCGTATAATTAAAACGAGCGGTCAGAGCATATTGCTCCAAATGGTATACGGCACCAAAGTGACTGACTCAAAGATTGTGCTCACTTTACTTTCAAAACGGTGATGAAGCGCAAACCACTTTCTGCTACTTCACTCGTGCCAAGTTCAAGTTTTCCAGTTTGCGAAATAAAATTATATAAGGAGCAGACAGTTTTACACTGTGCCTGTAGACCAAACCTGAAGTAATAACTGTCACATTTTAAGAAATCTACAACCCCAATTCTAAAAAGCTTGGATGCTGTAAAATGTAAATGTAAATAAAAACAGAAAATTATGTTTTGCAAACAGCATAAATCTTTATTTTATTTTATTTAATAAAGGAAACGTATTTGAGAAAGTGTCCCTTTTTTTTAAAAAAAAAAAGGAAAAATTAAGTGTAATGGCGGCAATATGTCTGTAAAAAGTTGGAACAATGCTATGTTTATCGCTGCTGAGTGGAATGATGTCCTGGTCATGTCTGAAATTGGATTCTGGGAGCTTTGAGTGCCGACGGTGTCTTTCTAAATATGTACGCAGCCATACCATCAGAGATGCTTTTGGACTGATTGCTGTCAACAAGATGGACAAGATCTCTTCTCCATACAGGGAGTGCAGAATTATTAGGCAAATGAGTATTTTGTCCACATCATCCTCTCCATGCATGTTGTCTTACTCCAAGCTGTATAGGCTCGAAAGCCTACTACCAATTAAGCATATTAGGTGATGTGCATCTCTGTAATGAGAAGGGGAGTGGTCTAATGACATCAACACCCTATATCAAGTGTGCATAATTATTAGGCAACGTCCTTTCCTTTGGCAAAATGGGTCAAAAGAAGGACTTGACAGGCTCGGAAAAGTCAAAAATAGTGAGATATCTTGCAGAGGGATGCAGCAGTCTCAAAATTGCAAAGCTTCTGAAGCGTGATCATCGAACAATCAAGCGTTTCATTCAAAATAGTCAACAGGGTTGCAAGAAGCGTGTGGAAAAACCAAGGTGCAAAATAACTGCCCATGAACTGAGAAGAGTCAAGCGTGCAGCTGCCAAGATGCCACTTGCCACCAGTTTGGCCATATTTCAGAGCTGCAACATCACTGGAGTGCCCAAAAGCACAAGGTGTGCAATACTCAGAGACATGGCCAAGGTAAGAAAGGCTGAAAGACGACCACCACTGAACAAGACACACAAGCTGAAACGTCAAGACTGGGCCATGAAATATCTCAAGACTGGTTTTTCTAAGGTTTTATGGACTGATGAAATGAGAGTGAGTCTTGATGGGCCAGATGGATGGGCCCGTGGCTGGATTGGTAAAGGGCAGAGAGCTCCAGTCCGACTCAGACGCCAGCAAGGTGGAGGTGGAGTACTGGTTTGGGCTGGTATCATCAAAGATGAGCTTGTGGGGCCTTTTCGGGTTGAGGATGGAGTCGAGCTCAACTCCCAGTCCTACTGCCAGTTTCTGGAAGACACCTTCTTCAAGCAGTGGTACAGGAAGAAGTCTGCATCCTTCAAGAAAAACATGATTTTCATGCAGGACAATGCTCCATCACACGCGTCCAAGTACTCCACAGCGTGGCTGGCAAGAAAGGGTATAAAAGAAGAAAAACTAATGACATGGCCTCCTTGTTCACCTGATCTGAACCCCATTGAGAACCTGTGGTCCATCATCAAATGTGAGATTTACATGGAGGGAAAACAGTACACCTCTCTGAACAGTGTCTGGGAGGCTGTGGTTGCTGCTGCACGCAATGTTGATGGTGAACAGATCAAAACACTGACAGAATCCATGGATGGCAGGCTTTTGAGTGTCCTTGCAGAGAAAGGTGGCTATATTGGTCGCTGATTTGTTTTTGTTTTGTTTTTGAACGTCAGAAATGTATATTTGTGAATGTGGAGATGTTAGATTGGTTTCACTGGTAAAAATAAATAATTGAAATGGGTATATATTTGTTTTTTGTTAAGTTGCCTAATAATTATGCACAGTAATAGTCACCTGCACACACAGATATCCCCCTAAAATAGCTAAAACTAAAAACTACGTCCAAAAACATTCAGCTTTGATATTAATGAGTTTTTTGGGTTCATTGAGAACATGGTTGTTGTTCAATAATACAATTATTCCTCAAAAATACAACTTGCCTAATAATTCTGCACTCCCTATAGTTTTCCAAAAAGAATTCCAGTTTCCAATTCGTCTGATCTCAGATCAGTTTTCCACTTTGCCTCAGTATGTTTTAGATGAGCTTAGGCCCAGAGAAGACGGCAGAGTTTCTGGATCGTGCTCACATGGCTTCTTCTTTACTTTTGTGGATAGCACGGTGAACTGTGTTAACAGACGGTGATTTCCGTGACAGAATGATTCCTGTTTTAATGCAGTGCTGCCTGTGGGCCCGACTATTACGGGCATCCAGTAATTTTTTGGAATTTGCCCTTGTGCGTGGAGATTTCCCAGATTCTTGAATCTTTTGAAATAATGTACTGTGGACATAGAGGTATTGAAACTCTTAACAGTTGTAGATTAAGGAATATTCTTCTAAATTTGTTCCATCACTTATAGATTGGTGGACCCCATCCTTTTTTCTTTTTCTTTTTTTAGTTCCACTTATTTTTCCAGGCTTTTGTTGCTCCTGTCCCAACGTTTTTGAGACTTGTTGCTGCCATCAATTTTAAAATGAGTTCATTTCTTTCATGAAACAGTAAGGTATGCTGCTGTGTGGGTGTCGAATGAGCTGGTAGGTGGATTCTGTTACCAGTTTCCTCTTGTTACAGTCTGTGTGATTAGCTAACCGAGCCTGGAGCAGATTCATGTTCAGTGTAGAAACAAGACTTGTATCATCTTTCAAAGTCACACACTCTGAATGAAAGTGTTTCTTTATTTGTTAAAGTATTTCTGTTGCAAGTTTTCTGGTTTCTGTTGCAAGTACAAACAGTATGCATTGCCTTTTAAATACAGCATTAGATAACAGTGTGCTGCTGAAGGGAAACTGTAAGGGATCTTTGTCTTGCTCTGTATCTGAAACCTCACTCACAAAGGACCACTGTGGTCGACTTAATGGCTGTGGTTTTGACTGTTAGCCACTGACGGAAAAGCAGGGGAATGCTGTGTTATCCTTTCCTATGTGTAATTACTTTAAGAGCCTTGCAAGAATACGGCCGCCACACAGGCACGCAGTCCTCGACGGAGCAACAGCAGAAGGGCTGGACTGTTAAATACCCCTTGGCTTGACTGTGACTGTGAGGTATTTACTTTCTGTCCAGAAATATGACCTCAGCAGGGAACAAGCTCAGCCTGGGCTCCATCAGCAGCACCGCAGTCTCAGGCTACAGCCATTCCTCCTTCACACCCATTGCTTCTTCCCATAGGAAGGAAAGGCGGAGTCATACTTGCACAAAGACCGTTCCTCAGGCGTCACCTAGCATGCGTGAAAACGAACTGGAGCCGTTTGTGAGAGAAGGCCACAGTACCCTTTTGAACACCGACGCCTGGACTTCTGCATCCTGCGCGATGCAAAGGAAAAATGATTCACAGCCCTGGAAGCTGTTTCCTCGTGTGATACCTCGTGTGTCATTGAGATGAAAAGAATAAAGATGATTGTTCCACGCTTCACCAAAAAGACGAGAGAGTGTGAGAGAGAGCTGGGAGACTGGTTTTAGTTTAAAAGCCAGAATCTGCTGTTAACGTCAATCACTCTGGGGGAATTAAAGACAGGCCACTTCAAAAAGCTTCCAGCTTCCAGCGAGCAAGAAACCCACAGGGAGGGGTGTCACACAAAGATTGTTCTCTTCAAAAGCGTCTATTTATGGAGATGACAAACTAGATAGAAAACACAGAAGCCCATGAATGCTGTAACACACTTTTTTTTTCCCTCTCTTAAAGCGCTTTTTGATCCTCGCAAGATAAGTGAATGCTATAAAAAGCTAATTCTTGTTATGCACGGATTGAGGCTAGATATATTTTCCTTAGATTGCGCGTCAGCCAAATCATTTAAACAAAGGACAGAATTATTAGAGTAAAACAGCTTTTCCAAACAACCTACTTTTACTGTGGATGCTTAAATCATTTTACTTTGCACATAAGAAAAAAATAATAATTTCACTTAAAATAAACGAACATTACCAAGGTCAAAATTATTAGCACTCCTGATGCTAACAGTCAGTTGTGTGTCCTTTTTGCTGGATAACAGCCTGCAGTTGTTAGCTGTAGTTTTCAGCGTGTCTCTCACGCGTCTGCTGAGCAATCCCAGTCCATTCTTCTTTGGGGAATCTCTCCTCCAGATGTGATGGTGTCCTGTCATGGACCTTGGTCTTCAGTTCACTCCACAGATTTTCAGTAGGATTCAAGTCAGGGCTTTGACTTCTGATGTTGATCTTCTGGAGGTCGTCCTTCACCAGGAGTGTGAAGTGTGTTTTGGGTCGTTGCGTTAGAAAACAAAGCGATCACCCAGACCCCGTTTAGCTGCTGACTGCTTGAGGTTTTCTGTCCAAATCTTCACATATCCTCCTTTTTTATTCCTTCCACCTTGATGAGATTCCCAATTCCAGATGCACTGAAGCACTCTCTTAGCATAATACTTGCACCACAGAGTATGGTGTGGGTTGTACACCTCTTCCTTCCATCTCTGTGGCCAGAGAACACTAGTTTTGTCTCATCCATCTCATCTAATCTTTCTCCAGGTTGTCCTTGGCATATTTAAGTCTAGCCTGAATTTGCAAAATAGGAATTTTCTTGGTCTGCTGCCTAACAGTCTTTACTTTAAGACTACACTTCCTGATTTGGCTCAGTCATTCACATGTCTTTGCAGTTGTTCTGGGGTCTTTAGACACGTCTCTCGCTAGTTTTCTTTCCCTAGGCTGCTAGGCTTGTTTGGTACTTTGTAGCTCGCTTTGAATTTCTTGATGATGCTTCTCACTCCAGTTTTTGACACTCTGTGATAACTTTGTGTATACATCTCCTGCTTTGGGAACATCAGCAATTCTTTTTCCCAAGTCTAAATTGATTTCTTTTGTTTTTGGCATGATGCTTTCTCCACTGGCAGCTCAAACCCTTGCTGAAGTTTTTATACTGTACTGAAAGAAAACAAGCTCTGACTTTGACTCAGTAAAAAGTTATTTTTTTTCCTCAGGATGCTTTTGTGTGTGAAATAATACTGTTATAGAGTGCAGACAGAACAAATTTATGCTTTATGATAATTCCGTCCTCGTCTATAAACAGGACGAGGCTTATTGGGGAATAATCAGAATGTGTTTGCATATAATTGTTTTCATCTATGGCTCCTCAGGAGACATTCATTTATAGTTGTTCGTGCTAAATCTTAGGCAGCTCATTGTGACGAGATCACCTCACGGAACAGAAAGGCAGAGAAGAAAATCGCTTTATATAACCATTCTCTGCTTACCTATACCAGCTGCCTCCTCACTTCTTACACTTAAGCCTCTTTTCACAAGTAACTTTTTGCCTTTACAGCCATCTGTTTGCTGTCAGATTTGTGTTTCGCCTCGAGGAGGCCCTTTAATGTCACGTTTTTGACTTGAATCATGAATTTTGGGAGAACTAAATGGCTTTCACCTTCTGAAAGCACGAGCTAGTTATGTTATAAAATGATGTAGAAAACATTAAATGGATGATTAATCTGAAAGGCTTTACTTGTAGCAGTGATTATTTTAATGGTGTTGGAGTTACTGGGTTTGTTGATTAATCGCTTGGACAAAGGACAAATGGACGATTTTAAACAAACAGTGTCTCATGATTGTCTCTGGTTTCAGTGGTTCTGCAGGCCTGTGCTCTGGTTCTCTACCCGATCAAGTTCATCGATGGAACGGTCCTGCAGACTTATCACGAGTTCAACTGGGGCTATGGGCTCGGCTGGGGGGCCACCATCTTCATGCTGGGTGGAGGAATCCTCTTCTGCCTGCGGACGGACATATACGAGGATGCAATGTACTGAACTTTGTCAGCCCTCTCTGCTCTGCTGGAAATACTTAAGAGGAGAATACAGACCCTACGTGTCCATTTCCCTTGCTGTGTTATTCTCGCCGTTATTTTTAGATAGGCCAGGGCTGTAGGAGTAGACTGCCCTCCCCCCCCCTGCACCACACTGCCCCAGCCCTACCGGTATCGGGGGCGAGGTGGTAAAGCTAAAGCGCAGAGAGCTTTCTGGACACGCTCGAGCCACCGACGCTGGACGTTTCCACTGAATCTCTATTGTTAGAGAGGAAAGCAGATTCTCAGCACAGGCCTGGATGTGCAGTGAATATTTAATAGGACTGACTGATCACGTTTCCTTTTATTTTTGTAGCTTTTCATGAGGATAAAAAGCTAGTTGTCAGTTTATTTGTGGCATGATTTCCCACTTTATAGGAACAGTGAAAACCTCACTTCCTCTCGTGTGTTAGCCGAAACATATCTAGTAACTGTAAATTACTCAGCTTTGACGTATGCTATTGAGTGTTCATACTTTTGATTTTTTTTTCTTTTAATGACACCAGTTTGTCTCAAATGGAAAAATGTAAATGTGTATAAAGTATTTCTACATGAAGAATTCTGAATAAATAATTGTAGTTTTGGGAGCATTTGGAGTGTAAATTGTTGCTTTCAGTATCAAAGGTGACATGCGGACACTCTCTGCTTACACGCTGACCTTTGACTCACTTTTTTTACCGCCCCTTTTTAGACTGGACAGCAGGGAGACAAAAATGCAAACCACTTTCATTATCGAGAGGACACATTCCTCAAAGGAAAACATCCCAGGCTGTTTAAAGAGGCAGCACCAGCTCAGAGTTATGATGGGTTTTTTATTTTTTTTATTTTTATGTTTTTAGTTTTTAAGTCCGTTTAGTTTCAGTTAGTTCCCAGAGCAGATTTTCTTGTTTAGTTTAGTTTTCATTGTTTCAATGTTTTGTTTTTATTAGTTTCTGTGTTTGTTTTAGTCTTTCCGGTGATTATTGAATGGAGGCGATATCTCAGAGCGAACATTCACATTTCTTCTAATATTTAGTTTCTTAATAGCCTTCTTAATGTCTTGTCTGGCAGCTTCTGCAATCAGAATCAGAATTAAGAACCGAATGCACTGCTGTGACAAACACATTTGCTTTTACAAGACGAGCTCTATAAATTCTCTATGGGCTCCTCTTGTTCATGTTTACTGTTTATTTATTCATTCTCATTATTGTTATTTTTATTATTACTCACAGTGGCTAAAATAATCATGTCAAAGCTGAAAGGCAGGAAAAACACAAAAGTCAGAAAAAAGAAACTGGGAGAATCAGGAGGAAATCTAATAAAGAAGACAGAGTACTGGATGGTCTCCTTTGTTACTTTGCTAAATTGAACTAATTTAAAAATATATAAATTTTCCATTTAATTGTATCCATTGTAAACTGTTACATGTAATGGAATCTGGTCAAATGAAATGTACTTGATTGGTAGATTAATGGAAATATACTTGGTATAAACTTAATGATTAATTATTTGAATAAATAACCCTTTTTAAAAATATATTTCAATTGCATTTTTCTCACAATTGCTGCTTTGTGGTTATATAGGGTCACAAATGGGATTTTTCTGAGTGCAAATTCAAGAAAATCAGCACATAGATTAGAGTAAAAACACTTTTTAAAGGCAGCTGACTGTCTCAGTGAACCCATGAATGCCTCATCAAGCAAGATGTCTGCAAGATCACAAAATTCTAGTTTTTATTGTAATTAGTTGAAATGTTTTTTCCACATCTAGTTTGGGTTTTTAGTTTTATTTTAACTATAATAACCTCACACCAGGTTGCATGTATGTAAAGACATTATGTGCTGGTGCAGACATGGGCAGCACGTCCTCCTGTATTTGTATTCATGACATGCATTTTCTATACATTTGCAAGAGACTTTTGCACTGCTCTGTTATTTTACTTATAATGGACAATAATAAGCTTTCAGCTGTGTTTTTGTGCTTAAAACCTTAATATTTTGATCTTTTACATTTTTAATTCGACATGTCTGACAGTGCACGAGTCATAGATGTTTATTAGTGCTAATGAAAAGCACGTTTAAGAAGTCCTGTTATTTCTCAGGGTGTTTGGGAACAGAAGGTATTGCCACACTTGGAACATCCTGCTGAAGTCTTCGTTTACCCTACAGATTACAAAATGCAACAGCTGCTAAGGACTCCGGAAAAGTTGATAAATATTTTTTCCACAGCTGCAGAAGCGTGAAAACTCCCCAGCTGTGGACAGCGTGTACACAAGAATCAACAACTCTAAAGGGGAAAGGGTTCAAATCATTGCATTGTGTGAAGCTGATATTTTGCCCCTGTAAGCTGTGACGGGTGGAAGATTTTTCCTCGTCTCATTACCTCCCAGGAATCTTTGAAATATGCTACACAGGTTAAAAGGTGAGGCGTCATGTGTCAGGCTAAAAGAGGACACGCCAAGTTTTACCAAAATATCTGTCAGGTGTGATCCAGTTTTAGTTTAATGTCCCTGATGCATGTAAAACCTTTTTCTTTTTTTTTCTTTAGCTAAAAAGTAAATTTTAACTAAAGAAAAGTCCTTTGGCTGTAGAGCCAGCAGAGCAAAGAGACTCTTGACACTGAGCAAGTGAAATATTTACTCAGGACACTAAAAAAAAAAAAAAATTTCTATGGTACAAGAATGTTTTTAAGCATTAATGTTAGATATGCACCCACAATATCCCAGCTGTTTCACATAATATGCACGTCTATCTCTTTGGCAGGAGGAGGTTCTGAAATGTTTGCCCACTCGTGTTAGAGGTCTCAAGTTGAAATGCCAGTAGATCTTTATGCTTTGCACTCCACCCACACAGTTGCTGTTCTCGCATAAAACGTTTCTGCAAAGTAAATTGACATTTTCACTAAAAAAAGAAACCAAAAATATCAAGAATAAGAGTAAGTGCCAGATACCAAAGTCTCCTCTATATTTGCTGCATTTTCTTGAGGATTATGTTTAACCAGCACCTCAATAGTAATCATCTTGCCCCACCTAGTGGTCATGCCGAACATGTCAGGTGCTGCAGAGTGAGGAGGGTCACATTCAGGCACATTCTGGTGTAATAGTGAGCTCCCCCCCCATTTTCTCTATGTGCTACAAAGCTTTTAAAAATAGCAGTAGATTTTACAGTGTTTTTCCTTTTTTTTTTTATAAAAAAAAAAAAAAAAAAAAAAAAAAAAAGGAAAAAGTCCAATAAATGAATAAAACAAGAAATACCCACATGCAAACGTCCTTTATGAAAGCCATTGGGACATAAATCACTGTTATTTGTGTGAATTTGTTTGCATCTGCTTGACGATAATCTGGCTGCGGAGAGTAGCCTGGCCCCTCGGTGCAGTAACCAGCCAGGCCCTGCACACTTTTACCACGCAGGGACAGATTCCAGTTACTGAGCCTGGGGGACAGATGAAAAATTCACCCCTGGTACCTGTGGAAGAAATTTGTTTTACTGATACGACTGATTATGCACAGATGTTCTAAAAAGCTGAGAACATTTTAAATCCAAACCTGAAGTTGTCCAGCTTATGTGTTCCTTAACAGTGGAAGTCCTTGTGAACAAGGGTCAGCGCACTAGTAAGTCAGATAAATGGACTGGACTGTAACAGCCGGGCTATACATTACCCTCCTCCAAGTCCTCTGTTAAGACTGGCTCCACCAAAATTACACATTAACCCAAGAGCATTTCTCTGCCCTGCAACTTCTTTGGGTCCCATTGAACCCAGATGCAAAGGACACAGCAGGGTGTTAACGGGGAGCAAAATTCAAGCGTTTTATTGCTTGATGCAAAAGACAAATGCAAAGTCTACAAAGTAACAGCATGTGAAACATGCACAGGGTTGATTGAATAAGACGATACAGTTGGAATCAGCTGAAAACACTTAGGAACAGGTGAAAACAATCACAGCACCGTGAACAAGACAGGAAATGAAAACAAGAGCAAATGTGAAAAGCAACAAAAAAAAGTAGGATCAGCAAGTAACAAAGAGAAACACCTGCTATCACATAAGAAGACACAGAAAAACACAAAAACCAACACTAAACATGATTACACAATCTGGTGCAGACAAGCCAACAGAACACCAGGACTATAGTAAATAAATAAACAGTCACTGTGGATGGGGGCAAACTTTAACAATTGCTCAAGTATCTGAAAACCATCTGTTATGTCATTTGTAGTTGTCCACACTTTCAGTGCACATGTACACAAAAATAAAGACATGTTTGTCTTTATTTTTGGACACACTTTAATATATTTTCCTCTACCGGTATTAATTCTCTCATTAAGACTGTGACTGTGTAAGAAGTCCGAACTTTACCACCAAGCTAAGTAAGTAAACAACAGAGACACAGCTATCCATGGGAAGCAGCCAGCTGCCTACCTGACCTTGTGGATGTCACTGAATGTTGGATCAAACACTGAAAGCTGCGGTCAGCCCGGAGCCAGATGGTTATTTTCCCAACAAGAAAGCAAATATCTTGCAGCTGAAGCTCTCCGTTTAATTGCGTTTCTGCTATAGACTCATTCGTTTTGGGGTTCTATAGTATACACATAAGCTTCAAGAAAATGGTGTAATCATTTAAACAGAGCGTGTTAAGATGTTTGACATGTTTTTCAACACAACTCCAGTCTTTCTCAGGCAAATCTGCACGAGTGTATGGCAAGAAACATGCCATGCTCACGTAATCTTAACAGAGTTTAATTCAGCTATTTGTTTACAATCAGTCTATCCACGTTTCACAGGAGAGTCAGCTGAGAAACATCCAAAAAGACTTATTTTATTTATGAAATGCATATGCTACAGATTATCTGGGCAGTAGAGGGCAACAAGAGCTGATGATCCATCAGACCATAAAGCATATACAGTACTCTTGAACGCATGAGGGAGCTGGGTGAACTTCATAAGAGATTATTTCATAATGGGTTTTGGTGTTGAGCCACATGCTACAGATACAGTACAAAGATCATTTTCATGTGATAAATAACGAGGGTGACAGAGATGAATAAACATCAAGACATTGATATATCAAATCAAACCGCTTCCCAACACCAGTTAATGAGCTGTAAGAGAAATAATAAATAAAATCACTGAGATTAGCATATGACAGATTATCAACGTGAACCACTAAAGCAAACACAAACAAATCAGTCACCCATGTGGGAGCTGAGGGAGTATTACACTGACTAGCCACGCTTCCACTCTGCACTCCACATTTAGAAAAGTCAGGGAAAAAGGCTAAGAAGAGTCGAAAAGGCAGGCTGCATTTAACAATGCATTTGTTTCTTTTAAGGTCAAAAGGCACAGACTTTAATCCTTTAGCCTGTCTTTACAGGTAAAGCACAACAGGCTTATTCTCCTTTATCAGCTGAGGACTGTAAAGATCAGCAGAAAGGCAGCTTTCATGCAGGTATATGAGTTAGTTCATGTAGGGGGATTGGCAGACAAATATGTGGAACTTGCACTGGATTTATTCATACACTCCTCAACTTTTACAGTCAGGGAAAAAAATATTTGAACCGCCGCTGATTTTGTACATTTGCCCACTAACAAAGAAATGATCAGTCTATAACTTCAA